AACTATTTATAGACTTCGAAAAACTTCAAGGAAACCAGAACGGTAGAAAAAATAAATTAGACCTACGTTCCAGTACTCTATTTGAGATAATAATTCGGTGAGAGAGATTGGGTGTACCAAATAAATATATATTATATATATAAATATATAATATATACTTTCAGTCTTTGCAATCCTGGTTATTAAGCCCTAGACGGGCGTTTCAGAGATAACGCCATCATTGGGTGCGTAGTCATCATATAGTTCTTCTCAGTTTAGTGTATGATGACTACGCACGCTATGATGGAGCTATCTCCGAAACGGCCGTAGTACTTAATAACCAGAATCACAGAAAACATACTACTATAACCCAGAATACCAACCGCATGGTAAAAAGCATTAAGTACTTTGAGAGAGCTTTGCCTGTCAGTTCGTAGGCAGCGCCACCAGCGTTGCTATGCTGAGTGTATGGCTGCCTACGAACTGACAGGCAAAGCTCTCTCAAAGTGCGTAATGCTTTTTACCATGCGGTTGGCATTCTGGGTTATAGTAGTATGTTTTCTGTGCCAGAATTGTGAAGACTGTAAGTAGCCTTTATAATATACTCTATTTGAGTTTGCGAAAACAATAAGTTGAGTCTTACTTACAATAAACTCCCAATAACACTAAACCTCATAAATAAGTATGCAGCAATGCATATTATTTAATTGACAATGAAGTTTAAGAAAAAGGGGATTACCAACATAAATAAGCATGTTTCGTCGTTTAAAATCTCTCACGGTACTTGTAATTTGGGTTGCGTTTAAAAAACACCCTTTATGTCTGTAAATGTTGAGTTTGATATGTCTAATAAAAATTATTTTGTAGGCTGACAAGGAACCAGAAAGAAGAGAAGCTAGTGTCAGATGACCCTGACTTGCTCAAAGGTGACGAGAGAGTGGACTGCTCTACGTTCGCAGAGAGGCTGGGAGTCTCACCTACTGACCCTGCGTTGAAGGACCTCTTCGCTCTTCTCAGTCCTGATGATAAGAATCAGGTGAGTTTTTACAAAATATCTATAGTTTATTTAGCTAAAAAATGATAGTCATTGGACGGGAGAAGTATTCTTAACAGATTCAATAGATTCTCAGAGGTCTCCAGATAAAAATGCAGACACTAGATTTTTGATAGTGAGTATTTTGTTGATAGAAATCTGTATGTCAGTGCTTGGCATTATCATACTTTAAAAATCTGAATGATTTTTGATTACGATATATTTGAGTGAAAGTCCTACTACATTTTTTATCCGTATTTACTCTCAGTTTTTATTGACATCAGTTGTATTATTTGCAGGGAGTTTTATTACCCAGTTCAGAACAGTACTCCCTAGTACTATAATCTCAAGCTCAACATTAGCTATTATAAGCTATTTTAACATGTTCAATGCGGGTGACGAGTAATCTCGTCATCGCTGGCGTTGCCAAGCGACGTGCGACTAGTATACTCGTCAAAGCACCACTCCAAAATTGCCTCGATATGAGCTGAGCCGTCAACGGAGGATGTTGTTTTTTCGTTGCGCTGTATGTCCTTTGTGTTTCCTCAGGCGGTGTCGTTCCCGTCACACACGGTTTTTGTTAATTGTGTGTATGTTTTTGTGTTTTAGTGTGTTATATGAGGTAAGTGGTGTGCAATAGTGAATGATTATGGCTAATTCTTCACTGGTTGATGACTTTCTCAATGAAGATGAACTATGAGATACGGACAACAACTACTGTTTACAACACAAACTAAGGATTACTTTTGGTGTCACGTCCGTCAGTTCTACATGGCCAAACGGGTGCAGCGCATGACGAGTATTCCTGTCACGAATAATGACGTCATATATTGAACGTTTTTATGAAATAACACCAGATCATCATCCAAACAACTTTGGGAAGTTAATTTGAGTTTACATATTTTAGCCGTCCGAGTGATATAGCCAATTTTGGTGCCTCATTGAACATGTTAAACAGTAGATATTATGTAACGCCAAGATTTATATTTCATGCTATATCATGCTCAACTTGAGGACCTACTCCAAGGAGTCTGGAATTTTTTTAATTTGAATTAACCACAACAAACCAGGATTTTTCAAGAAACTGTAGCAACTCTTTATTTGTCTTGTATGACTCCATCTGTACAATTTTTATAAACTGATGCATGATTGTATACAGGTTGATTTTGCTGAGTACCTACTTGCGGTATTGATGGTCGAACGATCAACTACACAAAGCGAGATGATTTCTCTGGCCTTTGAACTGTGTGGAGATGATTTTCGTCTCAGTAGGCACAAGGTTGGTCAATATTATCAATATTTAAAATTTATCATTAATTATTTAGGTATTCCCAGTTTTAATATAATACTGAAAGATTACCTTTTGGTTGCGTTGCCAGGTTCTTGACGTTATTGAATTTTTAGCTCAATGCATTTCACCACTACTTATTTATTTGTGGCATCATCCATATATATATTTTTAAATTAATAACCATTATTTTATATTAATTTAATATATTTTAATTGTGCTCCTGAGGATACCATACATAGTCGTGAAATGCATCGAGCTGTAAATTCAATAACGTCAAGAACCTAGCAACACAACCTAAAGGTAAATTTTTTGTGATCATTAATTCTTGATTAATACATTGTTCAATTTCGGACGAGTAGCACCAGTTCTAAGGAATCAATAGGAAAAGGTGAGATGGTCACCGCCAGGGCCGTCCCTAGGGTTGGCGGCGCCCGGAGCAAACATGGTCGTGGCGCCCCCCCCCCCCCCCCAAGTAATAGTCGCATTTGCATATTTTAATACTATGTTAATACAAATAGACGCGGGGCAGCGCCCCCTCAGCCACGGCGCCCAGGGCAGGCTGCCCCCTGGTCACCGCCTAGACTCGATGTTCATGTAAACATGCACAAACTTGTTTTCACCTGCGAAACCGACAGTCCATCTATGTATCTAATTTGTATTGTTTATTTTGTTAACTTTTGCTTTTCCTCTAATTTTACTATCAAAATAGACCGAGAAAATTATAAAATGTAACCTAAAATAGGATGAAAACCCTGTCATTTAGTCAACAACACACATCACAACAGTAAAATATGGTTTTGGATTTTATAAAAGCCAAAATTATAATGTTATTGATTATTTTTTTTGATATTTCAGGTGGCTTTGATACTAAAGTTAGTCCTTCAAATGGAAGATGTGGAGGCAACTAAATTAAGCCTACAAATACCAGCTGACGAAGACGGGTGTATATCTGAAGGTGGGTTGAAACTATTATTTTATCTTTTACTGCCATAGATTAACCCATAGTTAACCACTACCCCCAGAAAGACCATATTGACCCAAAGATAAAGTAAAACCAACGTTTAAAATGTGTGTAATACAATCAATTAATAATCCCTTGGACTCAAACAAAAAATTTAACAAGTCAAAGATTTAAAACTTATTTGCCGCTCAGTTGGGATGGACGGGATTGAATTTTTAATTCGGAACAGGACAGGAGAGGATTTGTATTTCCTTCCCAATTTTCGGGACGGGACGGGACGGGATTTTTTCCTGTGCAAAAAAGGTTTGTTTTAAAAGTCTTGAGTATTGCAGTTAACAAAAAAGACAAAAAAATAAATTTTTACCGTTTGTGGCACTGATCTATAAAAACCAAAAATGGGTAAAGATTTACAGGTGTAGGAAAAACTTTGTGACAAAATAATATTATATCTGGTGTAATTTTACTACAAAACATCTTTCAGACTCATAAAATACGTTGTATTGAAACAGACTATCACTCACTGGATTTAAAAAACTATGTACAGTTATAAGGCCTGAATTGGTAATAAGTACAAAAGCAGTTTAGCTTACTAAATGCTAAATTTTTTATGTATAGAGCAATATTACTACCTAACACAATTTTGTGACCTCGTGTCGAAATAACCCAAAATCTCAGGACCCGTCCATCCCTATCCTTAAACATATTATGATAAGATGGTTTATTTTAAATTGCAATCATAAAATTGATTTTGGAACTTGGTAATATCACAGAAAACATACTACTATAACCCAGAATGCCAACCGCATGGTAAAAAGCGTTAAGTACTTTGAGAGAACTTTGCCTGTTAATTCGTAGGCAGCGCTGAGGAAGTGTAGCGCTCTAAGGAGTGTTGCTATGCACTCAGCGCTGCCTACGAATTGACAGGCAAAGCTCTCTCAAAGTACTTAAAGCTTTTTACCATGTGGTTGGCATTCTGGGTTATAGTAGTATGTTTTCTGTGGTAATATTTGATACAGCAGGTAAGAAGTGGAACTGAAGCTAAAGAGTAATAAACATGTTCGTATTTTTTAAGTCATTAAATGTTCATGATTTCTTTACTTTAAATGACATTAAATTCTATAATCAATGGTGAAACGGTAGTCCTAAACCTTTCTTCAAATCACAGCAACGATTCCACTAAATAAAAATTAAATGTACTTTAACAATTTTTGTGGCAATTGCTACTTGTTGTGAACCATTCTTGTGTTATTACAGAACAGTTTGAGTTGTTCATGGACTCAAGGCCGGAGCTGTTACAAAGGAACACTGAAGACAACAGACACAACAAAAATGACTGACCCTTGGAAACTTCTCCTCCCTCCACTCTCCCCCCTCCTGTATTGTGATAAGGCTGTGCGACTGTACATACCACCTGAGATGTTAAATGTTTATAGTTAAGTTATGAAAAATAAATGTTATGTTTTACAAAGTGCCGTTTCTTGTGAACCCTCAAAGATGTAGTACTGAAGTAGTAATGGCTGTTGAATACTGAAGTAGACATTTCTGATCTATATGGACCAGCTGTACCCAGCAATTGTTTTATTCAAGAAGGACTTTGTTAAATGAGCAGTTCACAGCTAGTAGCAGTATCTGTCAATGGCCATGTAGCTCATTGATTCAGAGTTGCTATGAACAAACAAATACTGTAAAAATTAATAAATCAAGTAAGATTTTCAGTAAGTAGTTTTATTCTTTCACAGAGCAAATACATAACATGATAGATAGTGTGGTGGGGGAAGACAGTAAAAGAAATCATGGTTTCATGATGAAAATATCTCAAAGACTTGACTGATTCTTTCCCTCAGCTGATCCATGTTTTTTCAAAGTGCAAATTAAAATACAAGTACTGTCTCGCCCTTGTATTTAACACAAGTAAAGCAACTTTGATGCTACAGAACAGTCACGAATGATCTGCATTAACCTAGAAAATGAAAATCACACAGTAATAGGTTGGCTGCCAAGTGCCAACTATTGGCAAGCTGGACGAGTTGGCGGCAGAATGTAAACAATAGCAGTGAGCCATGGTAATTCTGCTCATACATTACCTAAGCATTACCTATTGAAAGTCTTTGTCATTATTACAATGTTTTGAAATTGACATAATTGTGTCATAGCACAGGTCAAACTCAAACCAAAAGTAATTTTATTTTATACTTTATAAACCATAAAAATCCACCTTATTGTGTTTTTATTTCATACTGTAGTATGTTGGTTCAGCATAATTTTAAAAATACTGTATTTAAATTTTTTCTTTCAATTTGGGAAGTGTTGAGCATGTTGAGTCATTGTTTTCCGGAATAACATTACCTTATCTTTTTAAAAGATTTTGCATGAAAAAGTATTTGACTTCTTAATGTATTACCTTATCCCATAGCCTCAAAATCTAAGAGACGTCCGTGTTATCCAAGATTCTCAGTAACCGAATTAGTTTTGGTCCCAAAAACCTCGATTATTTGAAAGTGTACTGTCATGATTTTAGCATGAGAACCACTAAAAAATTACTTTTTCTATAGTACAGTCCACGAGAGTCTGAAATTGAGGGAGGAGCCTATTTACCACGAGACTTCAAAGTAGCCAATGAGAACCGCGCGTTGTTGCCAAATAATAATACCAGCTGATTTGAAAATATTGTTTAGTATTTTAATTTTAATTAGTGTCATCAACGGGCGATATGGCAACGTCGCACTAGCCTTGTCTTGCGATTGGCTGCCACCAACTGCAGACTCTTGTGGTCCCTACTGTAGGTATATTTAAAACGCACAATGAAAATCACATGGTTGTGAATCATATTTATTCATATGAAAGAGTCAAGAAAGTAGAAAACATGTATGTACTGTATTTTTTCAAGGCTATAACTACTTTTACCTAATCCGCCATGTTAAACTTCCCTATCCCAAGCGTGATGTATATAACTTCGTTACTTCTCGAGTGATGTAAAGTTGAAAAAAACTCACTCGGTGATGTAATGAAACCCATTGAAATAACATTGAGTGCTTAACTTAAAAAATATACCTCTATGGAGCCAACGACGTTCAACGCTAGAAATCAGCTGTGCGCTTGAATTTTATTGTTATGTTTTGAAGAATTTTCTTAACCTAGCTTTTGTTTGTAAACGAACGTTACTGTTAGAAGATGAGTGAAATGGATAATGAAAAATATTGTTCATAACCTCCTTTATATTGTCGGGTCAGGTAAAATCTTGTACGTTACACGTTACGCAAGAGCGTGTTTTCATCACTTCGGTAATCTAACATTCACCTGCGTGATGTAAAAACGCTCTTACTACACTTGTAAGGTAAATAGCTATTTTTCAAGTTTTACAAACGTTTGTTTCAAAATCAATATGAAATATAATTTAATTTTCAAATAATATTATATTTCTGTGGAAAGTGACAAAGGTTAGTTAGCTACAGCTGTAACAGAGCAATCAAAATCTCAAAGCTAGATGTAATTACTGATTTGGTTGATTTAAAACATGTACACAAATGTTATAGGGCTAAAAAAATTCTTGAAAAATTATATCATAAACAAACAAACAAGGATTTTAGGGTTAGGATTTTTTGTATCCTTAGTTAGATTGACTAATTATTCTAAGCATACAATACATTCAAGGTACATTGTACTTTTTTAATGAATAGAAGGATTATAAACCTCATAAATATTATGTGCTCAATAAAAACACTTTCCACATTATATAAATTAAATATATTGAACTAATTTAACTTGGTCAAATTTATTTATATACTATTTAGACAACTTAAAATAAGACAGTTAAATTATTGCAAATTATATTTTACAGTTCAAACAAAACAAACAAAAATATATTTTGCTCTAATTTACAGTTGGTTGTCTTCTTTCGCTCGAGGGTCGAGACTGTCAACAAATGCACTTTATTTCTATTAAAAGGGCAATACAAATTAAAACTAATTAAGGAACATTAGGAGAATGCAAGAAAGTATTGGAGCTTATATTAATTTAGTATCAAAGACATTTAAGAAATTGAGTTACAAAAAACCCAAACACTGAGTTATTATTAATTAAAAACAGTGGTAAATTAAGAATTCGCACATGCAATGGACGAACGTCAATTTCATATTAATTGCTGAATAATCATAAGGGATTGTATGCAGTTTTGATTAATTGATTTTGATTATTTTGAAACATTAAATATTCCAGTTAAACATTGTTTTGTAAATCAAAACCTACTGTAAACAGCAGGTTAGAAACTGCCACAAAAGACTGATTCATTGCCATTTTGTTATTAAATAAATAGGCATGACATGGTCGTCTCCAATATTTTCCTAAACTAAAAGTAAATACAAAAACTATCACATAAGAAAAACTGAACCACAATTACTATTTTCTTCTTTGAAGGAAAACACTTACAAACATAAAAAAAAAAATAATAATATACATAGTGGATATAGTAAAATAAAGAACTTGTGGGTTTTAAAAGTTAAATGAAAACAACTAACTCATAAACGTGACAAGAATCATTTGTTTAAAACGTACAATTGTTTGGATCGCAGGCTTTCCTTAACACGTTAACTGCTGAAAATAACGTACAGGCGCACCCCACTGGCGGGCGAAGCCCCAGCGCACCACCGAATAAGCGAATGCAATTGGCATTCAAATATTTCAGTCTGACGAATCACAAACTAGCAATGATGATTGTGCTGCGTTACCCCAAGAGTGAACATAGTTCACTGAAACACCCAAAGGTAGCAGCACTGCCTGGATCCGTAGTCAGTGTCTTTGTAATGTGGACAAAAGCATTGCCAGACGGGATTTTACAGGAAATTTTAGTGCCAACCTACAACAAAATAAAGCTCGCATTCTAAGCTGCAGGTTGGCAATGATTAAACCGTCCTCCGTCTGAGGCTAATCTCACTCAGACTCGATATATTTCAGTTGGTCTGGTGGCGACTTTTGTCGGCTTTAGCAGCGACGCCGGCGTTAGCAGTCAACGTGTTAATGGGAAAGATTCGTTTCAGTACTAGAAAACACCATAACTTTACACAACTGCCCGATAAATTAATGTCACTGTCAATGACAGCATTTTGAACCAACGATGCCTGAAGAACCAGGCAGTTTTATCTGAAGACATAGTTTTTTCTAAACCTAAATCATCCTTTCATGAAAGTTTCAATTTTCTCAATTAACAACAGAAATATCTAAGTTTTTTATACTGTAAAATGTTTTTTCTTGCACCAAGATAGAGTCTTTCCTACGTGCACAACCCTGCTAACCCAACAATTCAAGTTCTTGTGAATTAAGTAAAATGGATTGTCCATGACTTATGTACAAATTATACAGTACAGCTGACGCATCTCTATTATATATCAAGATCAGCTGGCAGATCACAACCCGTATAGCCTCCTCGGCTCACACAATCACGCAGCACCGTGCGCCAGTACTGGTCTCGTGCTAGCAGATGAGGGTTGCCCAACACGATGAGACAAGCCCGAGCTCTTGTTATAGCTACGTTCAACCGGCGTGGAGAGCAGACGAACCCCACTGAGTGTCGTAAATCAGTCTCGACCAGTCGAGGGCTGCTCCTGACAGTAGACAAGATTACCACCATCCTTTCTTGACCTTGGAACTCTTCGACCGACCCAACCTTTGGAGGCTCCACTTCCAAGGTTTCTAGGAGCGAGCGGATTTTCAGTACCTGCAAAAAGATAGGTATTTATTGTTTGAGATAGTTATAAAATAATAATGATTTTAGGGATGGACAGTTCCGGAAAATTCTATTAAAGTTAGGGAAAAATACATTCCTGGTCATTAGGCCAAATTTGAATCAAATGTTTGCGATTTTGCCCGTGCAATGATGATGACTTGCCTGTGATCGCGGAAGATTTTGCCAGTATGGCGGGTGACAATTATTACGTATAACCACAATTAACTGCAAGTGATGTTTCGATGGTCTGTGATGGTCGATGGCTCCGCTAACCCAGGAAACGATGGTGACATCTCTGTGCTTACGGGAGTTGTTGACGCCGTGACTGCGAGACATGTTGACAATAGCGCTACGTATGCGGTACTCGTTTATAATGGCACCTAAAACGGGGGTTATGTTTTTTGATGGCCTTATGGTTGCAAAGATGTTCAAGATGGTGCCATGATCACAGATTATAGTCACAATGACACCCATTCATTACACAATTTATGATTATTGAAGCTAATACTGCTTTTTTATACTAGTAACTTAAAACCCAACACAGTTTTAAATAAACCGTATCGGCAATCTGACACATACTTTTTCCTATTAGCTTGTCAACAACCTTTATCATTTGTTGGCGAGGAGAGTAACTAACTATGATATTTAAGTAAAAGCATAAAAGTTGCATTAACTTTTGAGCTGTAGTTTTTACAGGAATAGGGGGGGGTTGCACTACTTTGTTTAGAATTATAACAACCATAACAGACAAATTTCAATCAGAATTGGTTTTTTTTCTGAAAAATCAATTTTTCCGTTTCTTCATGGGTTTTTATGGGAAAATAACATAAGTTACAATAACTTTGAACCAAAATGTTTACGGGAATGGGAATTTGTATGGTTTTGTTCAGAATTTAATGAAACCCTAACATACTAGGCTAATTTGCAACAAACCCGGATTTTTTTGAAATTCCGATTTTTACTTTCTCCCCCTATACCATAGTATATGGAGAAAGTATTGTTTTCGTCAAAATTTTCGAGTTTGAGTTTTGAGTGGATATATTCGTTTTGGGTCCCCCTGAACCCAAAAAAGTGGTTTTTGAAGTGATGTCTGTGTGTGTGTGTGTGTGTGTGTGTGTTTGTATTCACCGAATAGTGGCATCCTTCACAGGCACACGGCCGTACTGTGGCACCTTCAAAAATTGTGGCACCTTTTTCAGGGTGCCACAGCTAATTCGATCATTTTTGAGGTTTTCCAGCATTATTACGTCGTTTAAACATCACATGCCACAATTGAGTATTTTTGAACTCGTTGATGTGAGTTTAAGTAGCGCAGGTACACACCGAATTGTGGAACACGAAACCATACAGGTAGCTAGCGCGCCTCGCGCCGTCCGCCGGAACTATAACTTTCCTAATGCTACGTTGCCAATTCTCGCGCCAGCCTACACTCGAAATAGTGGCACCATGCCACAATTCAGTATATATCAACAGTGTGTGGACAGGATGCCACTTAATGAGCTGTAGAGCTTGAGCAGTGTGTAGAACAGTGCAACAAGCAACTAATAAACTAATAATACTATACTGCCACGTACTATAAAACAATTTAAGTACCATAAATATAATATACTTTTGCTCCGAGTGGTGAACAATGTTTTGCATTACAAATAATTTGTGTAGTAAATAATAATTTAAATTGATTTACCTAACCCGCCATGTTAAACTTCCCTATCCCAAGCGTGATGTATACAACTTCCTTACTTCTCGAGTGATGTAAAGTATCAAAAACTCACTCGGTGATGTAAAGAAACCCATTTAAATAACATTGAGTGCTTAACTTAAAAAATATAACTCTATGGAGCCAACGATGTTCAACGCTAGAAATCAGCTGTGCGCTTGAATGTTATTATTATGCTTTAAAGTATTTTCCTACCTAACCTAGCTTTTGTTAGTAAAAGAACGTTACTGATAGAAGATGAGTGAAATGGATAATGAAAAATATTGTACGTAAACCCATGTTTATTGTCGGGTCAGGTAAAATCTTGTACGTTACACGTTACGCAAGAGCGTGCTGTTTACATCACTTAGGTGAATTATGCAACTCGCTTCCGCTCGTTGCACAACATTCACCTGCGTGAAGTAAAAACGCTCTTACTACACTTGTAATGTAAATAGCTATTACGCAACCATTAAAAAATTGATTTTTGTTTACAAACATAAATAATTGGTAACGTAGTTATTTTGTATCAATTGAATTTGTACACTGAAACGATAACAATGTTTCAGGTTAGAACGCTATATAAGTTGTCCTAGACTGCTTTTTTTATCTTACAAACTATTTCGTGCTGATACATCTATTTTTTTTAACATTTTAGTCATCTTGACAGAATATTTTGCAATTACATTTCTGAATCAGTCAGTAAAGGTAGATTTCGATGCATCATTGCTGAAAGTTATGTTTTGCTTCTCACTCTCAGAGTATTCCAAAGACATCTAATGTTTCAATCCATGTTCAAATGTTATATGAGGTAAACATATAACCGAATCAATTAAAGTACTTAAATTAAAATACATATTATTATCAACACGCATAATCTAGTTCAGATTATAATATCATCTCAAAATCATATTTGTAAAACCTACTGTGGTGTTTTAACCAGTCCCCACTAACAAAAGCATAAAATGAAAGGTCCTAAAGAGGTTAACATTGAGTCATAACAAAAGTAGTTTAAAAGTTGTAACCGTGATACTGTAAATAATTTGATATTGTTAGATATTATACGATCGTTTTACAATTTTGTCAATCTATCTGTTACTTTCATACTAATGTATTTTTATTATTCAATGTTTTGTTTTGTAGAACCTTTAGTATTCTCAACTTTATTAATAACTAGTAGAATACCCGACCTTCGTACGGGGTTGGCATATAAGTAGAACATGATCATTGCAGTGATGGGAGAGGAAACGGTCTAAGAAAATATGGTCTTTTAATTTATACGGTATCCTATAGTGTGGCACACATATACCTATAATAAAAGAATGTGTTTAATGGTATGCACTGTAAACGAAAACCTATCACAATAGTTCCAAACATGTTAAGGGAACATGTTAATAGGGCAATTTTCTAACATATTTTAGTGAAATTATAATCAGGCAAACGGGAATTGGCTCAGTCTATAGGTTTGCTGGGGCAGGGGGATTATATTACTGTTTACAAACAAATAAATCAAAAGAATATACCCCATAACTCAGGATAAGGGCCTAGGTTGATAGGGCAATATAGAATGTTGATTATTTCCTATATCCATTGAATGATTTATTTTAAAATGAATTATTATAAAAATAAATAAATAATATTACAACATTTCACAAATATTATAACAGACTCAGTATAGTTAGATCATAAACAAATGAAGTACTGTAACTGAAACAATCCTATAATAATGAAATTACATTAACATATGGTTTGACAGCTCCATTAGGTAATGTTAAATAAATTCAGGCTAGTGACATCATTATTTTAAATTTATAATCCTTACCCTCTCTGTTCTAATATTCATGCAGTATTTAATAAGGTTTGAACCAGCTGTGTTGAATTGAGAAATCAAAATCAATTTGACAGTTAGTTCTGCTTGTTTACATTTTTAAACTTACTAGGTTTGTTCTTTGTTACCATGGATACCATCAATCAATATTTACTTTTAAATCTCTCATCTCAGATTTTTGAAAGCCCACGGGGCAAAGCCCTTGGTGAATATCGAAGCGGTAATAGTTCTATATGTATCCTAGGAGCTGTAGCTTCATTTGTGTGCAATTTGAGCATAGTCGGATCAGTATTTTTTGAGATTAGCTCATACAAACACACACACAGACACCCCCTCTTCTTTATAATAGTATAGAATAGAATAGAATAGAATAGAATAGAATAGATAGATAGATAAACCTATTTCAACGTGCAATATCAGTTTTAGGAAATTCCTAGTAAGGTTGTTAGAAGTATATTGGCATCCGTGAAGTTTGTGTAATGTTTTTTAAAATCACTGTGGGATATATTTAACTTCACTTATTATTTATTTAATATGTTTCTACTTCTTGAAATTCTCAGTTAACTGGGAGGCGGAGCAAACAGTTTGTTCTAAAATGAACTTGAAAATTTTAAACAATCTTTTTCTGTTGGTTTACTTAAAGTATATAATGTTCTACTATGAATGCAAATCTTTAATATAGTCTAAATTTCCAGTCCCACCCTCAAAAACTATGAAACCCTTCAAAAAATTGTATTAACAGGACCAGAGGACCAATATGCACATGGTATTTCATTTGTATAAGGCAAAAAGTTCAAATCATATTAACTTATGATTGCCAATAGATTTTGGGTTTCCTTAAAACAATTATATAAAACCGTCTGCAAATGTCAATAAAACTGATTTTATAAGAAATTGTAGATTCTTCTGTTGCTCTGTAGGCGACCATTTTGGTCACACAAGGAAGTCCAAATTTATATCTTAGTTTGAACAACGTCATCTTGATTTTACATTGCTCAAGATACATAATCGACACATAGGCTTTCAAAAAAAAATAAGTAAAGAAAGTAACTAGTGATGGACCGCGCAGACATAGGAACAGTCTAGACTTGCCTCTTACTGACGTTTTCCAAACGAATATAGAAGTTATGTGATGATGTGGTGTAGTATGAGTGTAAATGAAGATACCTGGGCCCTATATATCTTCCTCTAACCACTGCCAAATCACGCACATTTCCTGTCGAAACCCAACTCTATTGCAAGGAATTAATTTAGCTCGTCAAAGTGCACAATATTACCTTAGCTGCCTATCACAGCCAGCTTTTATGTTCTTAAAGTATCTAATTATAATATAATGAACAGAGAAATATATATATATGGACTTATTCTAATTCGTGAAAAAGGTTACTAGACTTAGCAAATGTGAATTCTAATTTACGATATTAATTGCCAGACCACGACCCTTCGAGAATCTAATAAACTACATAA